TTAGCTTCTTGGGGAAATGATTTTATAATAAGCAATATAAGGCAAATTTCTTGTTAAAATCAGATGCAACATAAATTATGATTTTATCAATTCTGGCTAGAAAAAAATTGAGTTCTTAAAATATTGTCTAATGTTTTTCATTGTTTTTATTTCTTCTTTAATTCATTGGGGTTTCAGAATCAGTTTGTGTCTACCAGTAATGTATGTTCATAATATTATACCCATCCTAACATAAGGTATTTTAGCACAAATTAATTTATTCACTTGTGTGAATAAATTCAGGATGGGTATAATATTATGAAACTGCTCAAGTTTTCAGGCCTTAACCTTTGCATCACGTCTAGCTTTTGGTTTGAGATATGTTTGAGAGTGATTCTGTAAGCAAGATTTGTGTTTCAGCACAAAAATGTAGATATTCAACCAACAGAGGTTTAAAAATACATTATTGCAAATTGCTTGTCTCCCTCCATTACTGATTTGTCATCTGTGCTAAGTGGATATGGAGACAATTTAATGAATACAATTTACCATAGACTTTAGCAAAACATAAATTTGATTCTGGAGCACCACAAATTATAAAATCTCGGAAATGAAAAGAACACAGAAAGGTCATCTGGTTTGTCCTTCTTCCTTCTGACCAGTTTGCACTTCTCATTACATCTGGGGGAGAATCTATCCTAATTCTGAAGACATCCAGGGAAGAAGATCTAACCAGTGCTCTCGTTATCACTAATGTGAAACATCCATCACTTGTGGAAAATTTGTCTGAAGGACATCTAATTTCCTCAGACTGGAGTTTATTCCCATTTCCTTTAAATGAGACTTCAGCGAGGACCATATAAAATTTCTGTTAACCAACCACGTAGAGAAACGGGATTGAAGGAGATAGCAGTGCCTATAAAACTCTTAGAACAGTGTCTGGCATATAATGGGCTTTCAAAGAACATCAGCTGCACTAATAGTAATGGTCATAATATTATGGAGAAAGACATCAGGTTTTTTTTTTTTGTCTATCTGATGATAAGGAAACACTGAGTAGTTTTGGGATTAGCAGTTCTGACTGCCTGTTAGTGGTTGATTTGGGTGTTGTATCCTGAGGTTACATCCTGGGTCAGTGGCAAGGAACACATGATTAATGGCTGACATGGGTGAGGGAAGAGGGCAGGAAAGGAATGGCCACATTGCATCAACTGTCTGCCATCCTTGTAATGATGCCTGTAAGCTCTTTGAGAGGAGGGACTCCATCTCATTAGTCTTGCATTCCTACTACTTAGCACTGTGGTTAACAAAGAAGGACAAAATATGCATTAAATAATTGGATGTTGACTATTGTAAAAAATAACTCAAGAAAATATAAGTTATTGTATGACTGATATTCCTGTCACCTAGTCTATGGTATACTTAAACAAAAATTTGTTCTTGAACATGTTGTTATTTCTCAGGTCTACCTTCTGTTTCCTCTTTGTTGTTTTCATCATTTTGGTGGAGAGGCCACTGTGACTTTCTTCTGGAGATGCTTTAAGCTCATCCAGGCTATTTGTGAGTTACAGAGGACAGAAGTAAATCCCGTGTCTTGTGACAATCTTGAATACCATGATGGGCTTGGCTATTTCATGCTCTTCCCTGACACTTCCTGGTGTCACACTGGTTTCTTATGTGAAGAATGATAATGTTCAAATTCATGTGAGCTGTCACCATGTTCCAGCCAATCAGAGATGTTCATGGAACATTTAGCTCTGATAGGAGTCATTGACCACTTTGCCAGTGGTGCTGTAAAGTTGTTGCTGAGGGATTTGGATACATTTTAGTTCTTAGAAGATTGCTAGAGGAGTCCTAAGGGCTGAGAAATGAAACCCTTGGGGCTGAATATGCTCAGTTTTGGCTCCAGCATTTTCTCTGCTGTTCTACAGCCGTCTGAGTCACACTGTTAAACCCATCTGTTTACATGAGGTTGAATATGGAAGAAGATGGAAAAGGAAGAAAAAATATCTTTTTTTAGTTCTCTTAGAGTAGATGGCATGCTCTTATTCCCCCTCCTACTTTCATTTTTTTTTTCTTGTGGCCCTGTAGGAATCCAATTGTGCACTGTAGGATTTGTTTTTCTAGGGCTGAGGGAAGTGGGTGAAGAAGGCAACTGGAGCAGAGAGAAGGGACCATACCTTGGGGTGAGAATTTCACATTCAGCCAGATGAACAGAGGGAAGATATGTTTTAATTCCATTTTTCTTAGTTCAGATGGAATCCATGAGTGGATGACTCCTCCCCAACTTCTAGTTATTTTCTCTTAGTCTGTTTCTCCTGATCTTTCAAAAAGAATCAGGAGATGAGTATGGTGGATAGCAGGGAGAAACAGAAGTGGGAAATGATTTATATTCTTTATGTGGACAGAGTGCCCTTCTCCTGAGGACAGCTGGCCCTCTGGGATGACTAAAGAATCCTACCAGGCTTTGGACTAGAACAGCTGCTCCTGGGAGGTACAGTCAGGCCTGAAGGGTGTGGGTAAAGCAGGCTTTTAAAGTATCCTTTCCTCATGTATGTCTTTGACCTTGAGCTCCGGCCCAAAGCAGAAGGGCTCCTGCAGCCTGAATGAGTAGGGAACACATTGTTTCTTGTCTAATTCTCCCAACACGGGACCAAGTTACTCTGCATTACCAGCACTAACCTCTAATGTCCGTCAAAAAGGATCTTTTATGTGCTTCTTCCTCTTCTAAACAAAATGACACCCAGAGTGGCAGTTGTTCATGCATTCTGGTCCCTTTAATTTCAGGAAGCTACATGGCGATGTCTGAACCAGAAAGGCAGAGGGAGCAAATGGAGGAAAGTGTTAAGTCTGCAACCAGCCTTTTTCCTTGTCACTTCTTTCCCCTCTGTTGTCAGTGTAAGAGTTGGCTTAGAGAGACCAGGCACTCTGCACTCACAACTGTGTTGGGCCATAGATACACTGGCAATATTTTACTCAATATTTATAGACATCTCTTGTTAACTCAGGCAAGTGTCTTCAGCAACAGGAGTGGGGAAAAGTCGGTGTGGAGAGCTGCAACTTCTCAGAAGGAGTCATCCTTAAAATTTTTATAGTACTATGCAAAGGTCTTCAAAGTAAAGAGTATAATGCATAGCCCCAATGCTCTGTTAACAAACAACATGACAATTTTTCTTTGATGAAAAGGTATCAGAGCAAAGCAAGAGCCAGCACAGCTTCAGTGGTCAGGTGCCCAAAATTCTGTAGCCAGGATGCCTGGGTTCAAATTCTCGAATTACTAGCTGTGTAACATTGGGCATGATACTTAACTTCTCTGTACCGCGACTTCCTCTTTTGTAAAATGGGGATGATAATACTACTAGTATTATGAAGAATGAATGAACAAACGAACATATAGGACCTGGCACACTGTAAGTGATATATAAGAGTTTGCTGGATGAGTTGCAGTGGCTCATGCCTGTAATCTCAGCACTTTGGGAGGCTGAGGTAGGCAGATCGCTTCAACCCAGAAGTTTGAGACCAGTTTGGGCAACTTGGTGAAACCCTGTCTCTACCAAACAAATCAAAAACCAAAACAAAAAATTAGCCAGGTGTGGTGGAATGCACCTGTAGGCCTAGCTACTCGGGAGACTGAGGTGAGAGGATTGCTTGAGCCCAGGAGGTTGAGGCTGCAATGAACTATGATTCCATCACTGTACTTTAGCCTGGGTGACAGAGCTAAACCCTGTCTCAAAACAGAACAACCACAAAAACTCTGTTAAATAAATAAGCATCTTGGCCGGGCGTGTTGGCTCACGCCTGTAATCCCAGCACTCTGGGAGGCCGAGGTGGACAGATCATGAGGTCAGTTCGAGACCAGCCTGGCCAAGATGGTGAAACCCCGTCTCTACTAAAAATACAAAAATTACTTGGGTGTGGTGGCGGGCACCTGTAATCCCAGCAACTCTGGAGGCTGAGACAGGAGAATTGCTTGAATCTGGGAGGCAGAGGTTGCAGTGAGCCAAAACCACTCCATTGCACTCCAGCCTGGGCAGCAGAGCAAGACTCCGTCTCAAAAAAAAAGCCTCTTTCTTCACTATCTGTAACCTCTTGACTTAAATAGACTGAATCAATGAGTAGTCTTATCATTACCTCACTGGTCAAGCAGGACTGGCCATATAATTTGTGGGGCCTAATACAAAATGAAAATGCAGGGTCCATCGTTCTAAAACTATTAAGAACTTCAAGATAATGACAACAGGGCATTAACTTAAGTGTGAGCCCCTTTTAAGTGTCTGCCCTTCCATGCAATTGTACAAGTTGCTCACCCATCCAGCTGGCCCTGGTGTCAGGAATTAAGACTTGATTTAGCCAGCAAGGACTGTTAGGAGATGGCAGAAAGAGACTATCTCAAAACTATCTTTAAGCTTTTTGAAGATCTCACCCCAGAATTTCAAGGTGGTTTATATTGATTTTTTTTTTTTTTTTTTGAGGCAGAGTCTTGCTCTGTCATCCAGGCTGGTGTGCAGTGGCCCAATCTTGGCTCACCTTAACCTCCATCTCCTGAGTTCAAGCAATTTTTCTGCCTCAGTCTCCCGAGTAGCTGAGACTACAGGTGCCTACCACCAAGCCTGGCTAATTTTTGTATTTTTAATAGAGATGGGGTTTCACCATATTGCCCAGGCTGGTCTCGAACTCCTGACCGTGTGTGCCCCCACCTTGACCTCCCAAAGTGCTGGGATTACAGGTATGAGCCACTGCCCCTGGCTTTGTGGAATTTTAAAAAAATGTAAACCAAATGATACATCTGTTGGCTGTGCAAAAGGATTCATTTGAAAGGGAGAGTATTATTCTTTTCTTTGAATGGCAATGGATCCAACTTTTATTTATTTTTCCATATGGGTCGTTTTATTCTACACTTCCTCCAAAAGCAGCCTGCTTAAAGGGTCAGTATTGACATGTCAAGAAACCATGGGTTGTTGGGTAGCAGCCATGTTTCATGTTAAAGTGGCTTCATGCAGAGAAGTGAAATGACACGATGATTCATTTACACATTTATTTTCTATCTTGCTTATTCTACCAGACTGAAATGGAGAACAATGCCAGCAATTTTATAGACATTTTGACATAAAGTAAACAAGTATTTTGATGTTGAACAGTTGTACAGACTACTACATGCATATAGGTATGCTGATTGGTGCAGAAATATTGAGTTGAGTTGATCAACAAAACTATTAATACGAAATCACATTTTCTTTTTATGGAGTTAAAATGCAGCAGATATGGGAACATTGATACAAACACCATTAAATGGCAGAGAAAGGCATTGTAGTAACGATGCAGGATGGACAGCTGAACAAACATGAGTATGCTAACTCATATCCTCTCTACAAAACTGAAATAAGAACATTTCATATGCAAATAGAATGAAAGAAAGCACATTGAGGCAGGTGAATGAGACTAGACAAGACTTAACCACTTACAAATAAGTTTCTATTGAGAGTTTGTGTTAAAAGTATTTCAACATGGTATAAGATGAAATGCTAATGCTATTATGTGTGTGGACAGGACAGGATAACTCAATTGAAAATTCATAAAAAACAAAATACTGATTGTGCTTCTTTTTCCCTGCAGCATTCAGAGCATTCATAGACGAGTATGAAAACCCTCTAAAACACTGAAGTTAATAAAAGTCAATGATATTTCATGTGACTGTACCTAGACATCTAATACCATGTATAACTTAGAAATAGGAAATTGTTTTACTTACCATATATAGCAACTTTAATAACTATTAATTTAATGTTTAATTTCTGATACTCTATTTCTTAAGTTTAAAAAATAGTTTGGGTGCTTTTAATCTGGGAGATGTTAGAGACAATAGAAAGAATCAAAACCTCTGCAACTTGAGAAAAAAGAATAACTTGTATACCAATTTATTTTGCAGGGAAATCACCCATAATTATCTCTGACAAGGTTTTTCTTTTTTTTTTTTTTGTGCCCGTTAATTAGTGACAGTACTAAACAACTTCCTCATAAGTTTTCATAAAATTACTTTGTGAATAGCCACAGAACTGTCCTGAGTTTAACAATAATCTTATAATTTTAGTACTAAATGTTGGATTAATAAATTTTGGGAGTTAGACAAAGTTTTAAAAGTATGACTAGTTAACAAAAAATGTGGTAGATAATTCAGGCTCCCCCTCCTGACTTTAAACATAGACATGCCCACATGCATACACACACAAACACATACAGCCTCCTCCAAGCCAATCAACTTTTAGAGAATATACATGTAAACTTTATTTAAGCCTTATTTAACTCATTTAGAGATTTACCTTCCTCTATTAGTTTTTTTCCATTCTTTTCTTTCCCCTTCCTCTTCCTTCATCTTCTCATCATCCTTCCTTCCTTCCATCCTTTCCTTTCCCCTCCTCACCAATGCTGGCCTTTGAAAGTCTACCTATGTTAATTTTGTAGACATCCAAAAATTAAAATAAGATACACTTTTGAATACTGGACCTCGGTAGACAGGTCACTTCTGAGGTATGTACATACTTTGACTAGTGAAAGAGCTAATGTCATACATAAAAATTCACCACAATAGCCTCCCTTTATTTTACACATGACAGTGGTGAAAGACACCATTTGAGGCAGGTCTACATTGGCAATGGAAAATAAGCAATTATATGGGAAAATCAGTAGATATTTCTCATTAGTTTGTTAGTAGGCAATACTTTTAAACAGAATTAATGTATTTTGACTATGTAGATATGACACAGAGATTTGTATTACAAGCCTGAAAAAACAGTTAAAATACTATTTCAGTATTTATGGTAAAGAATACACAGATGTAAATGATTCCAAAAGTGAGCTAGTTTAACTAAAAGTGTTATTGCACTGCCTCAGACCTTTTCTGACTAGATGTTGAGTAAGCAGTTGACAGTCACTTTTGTACCATGGCCTATGTACATGACATCATAACGTAAGGCATTGGCATAGCAAGATGATAGAATCACGACGAGCTTTTAAATGCAGTAGACATGGACAGTCAATATTGAGTTTTTACATAAGCTGCATATAGACAGGTATTTAATACATTTAGTGAGCTGGTGGGCAGCATGATGCTTCATCTGAATACTATTTAATAAACTAGGAACTTTTTTTGAGAAAACAGGAATACAGTATTTGTTAGGCTATAACTAAATAGTAATCAAATCTAAACTGTCATGCAATTATGATTTAGAACATGGATTTTTTAAGCATCATAAGTTGACTTCAAGTCCAAACTAAGTAATGTGTTATACTAAAGTTTTCATAAAATAAATAAGCAAAAAAAAAAAAACCCATATAATCACTCAAAAATTAACCAAACAATAAAACTTCATTAAAATCAAGGTATTGTTTTCCTTTTACTGATGATGGCTAGCAGATACTCTAAAGGTGAAATTTCAGTGTATTTGGAAATTCCTTTGCAGTTTCAATGCAAGAATTTCCAAGTTAGCCTGTCTTTAGTATTAGTGTCGTCTGCACCCTCATTCCACAGTGACCATCTGCTTTGGTTGAGTAGTTGCATTTAGACGATGTAAGGACTATGCAGTGTGCAGTGTGCTTGCTGCATTCTATGTAGTCCTTGGTAATCACCCAGCTCCACTCCTTTCGCAGAAAATAAGGGCCCTATCTAAATTTATATGATCTGGCATTTTAAATAAATCAGAAGAGAAAATGAGCCTCCCTCTCTGTTATCTTTCTTGATCAATGAGATTAACATTAAAAAATTAAAAAGTCTCGGATTAAATCTAAACAGATGAAAATTTAGACTTGATCATCAAAAGAAAATTTAATAAAGAAAAAATTTTGACACCATAAGCTTCTATTCTCATTTTATAGTTTATTCTGGCAGATAGCCAATTATAGTAAATCTAGAACCAAAGTGGTTATGAATTACTTTATGAAATACATCCTGAGGTGTACAAATACTTAAATCAGAAAGATGGACCAGTTTGTTGAATATTCACATAATGACTAAGTATACTCAAATGTGTGGTAATAAGGAGACTGTAAAAGTCTCCTCAGATAGATAGTATATTTGAAGTCGTAATTATTGTAAGGGCCAGGTGCAGTGGCTCACACCTGTAATCCCAACACTTTGGTAGGCTGAAGCAGGAGGATTGCTTGAGGTCAGGAGTTTGAGGCCAGCCTGGGCAACATAGCAAGACCCTATCTCCATAAAAAAATAAAAACAAATTGTAGAAGAAATGGACAAGTAATTTCTCCCTTCAGAAGAAATTCATATTTGATTATTAAACACTAAAAAGTTATGGCAATTAGGTAAAAGAAATGCACTATCTAGTTTTAATAGAATGTTGTTTGTCCAAATGTCAATGTTTTTGTAAAGCCACATGGGTTGGTAGATAATGTGTATATGTATTATTTATATAATATATAATATTATATAATATAATATTATATATTATATAAATATATATTATACATATTATATAATTATACAGGTGTATAATATGTATAATATATATAATTATACATGTGTATAATATGTATAATTTAGCAAGTAAAATGCCCTCCATTTTATGTAACAGTGAATTCTACTCATATACATATGTAAAATTTTGACTGTTTAGGAAGCCACAGAAGAATTTTAGAAGACTAAGTCATTAGCATACTAATGTGGATCAAATAATTTCTTTTGAAATACTTTTCAAAAAGAAAATCCATATCTCCTATTTGCCAGTCATTTTACTGTATATCATCTTATTTATGCTATTTTTTAAAAAATCTATATTTATAAGAAAAAACATTAATTTCAAATGATCACCTGAAACGATTTTTACATGAATTAAAAAATACTGATCCAAATGCAAATTAGTTGTAATTGAATGTATAGCAAAGTATAAGTTTTCAATAGAGCTTTCTATTCTTAGAAACTTTTGCTAAAGTTTTGCTTAAATTGCCATTACAGATATTTTTGGCCCAGAACCATAAAAAAACTACCAGAGCAATATCAGTTTTCCCTGATTGAAGTATTTGTTACTATTGAAAATGATTAAAAGAGTAATATTGATATTTTCCTTTTTGTGTACTGCCCTGAAGACAGGCACATGAACAACCTGTTACACAAATTTAATGGAGATGCCTAAATCTTTGTGATAAAGTTATGAATTAGGGACCACCTTTCTCATCAAGCCAGCTGTGTACCTTTGAAATTAAAGAACTTAATAGAGGCTTAAAAAGTACTGTACTTTTTTTGTCCATCATGGGGGAAAGCACTGTGTCACTGTTTTGTTGGTCAAGTCGTATTATTATGCTGTATAGAGACAGTTCCTTTGTCCTTATGCCTTGCTATGTTTTCTGACTGCTGGAACATCCTCCAGTTTCTCTTGGCTTTGGGCTTCAAGTTGTGATTGCTAATGGCTCATTTCGTCTTCACTTTGACTTGGTACCTGATACACTCTGCTCAGGCAGATCCTAGGGAAGGATTGCTGGGGGTAATGCAGACAGGAGAGTAATGAAAAATCTTAATTAGCAGGATCGGAAATTTGATCTCAAGAATCTGTTTCCAAACCAGGATAGCAAAACTTGACAAAAACGGGGAAGGGAGTGAGATGGCCGAGGCATGTCTACAAATGGTTTCTATTGTACTCCAGGGTACACTAGGTAATGTTAATAAGTTGCCCAATAATATTCCCCTTTAAACATTTTCTCCCACCTACCCTCACTTCTCCAAACAAAACAAAGCAAGCAAGCAAACACACAAGTAACAGTATGAAACAGAAAGACTTCAGATTGAAATCAAGGTGCTAAAAGCAAACATAGCCGCTATGTAGTTAAAGGTTATTAAAAATGTGTCAGTGTGTTAATGGTACCTCATATTTGCTTAATAAACCTTCTTTATGCATTCCCTGAATTTTTTATGGTTTAATATCATATCTCTTTAAAATTGCATAAGTTCGGAACTTGGCTATGTGACAGGATAGTGTCACACACTAGTTTTTGTAAGTGTTTTATAAGTTGCATGTTTTTCTTTTTCCCTTTTCTTTGGTTTTGAGCTAAATCTTAACAGAAATATTTTTGCCAATTCTTTAGTGTGATTTTCATAGAATACGTACATGTTTATCAATTAATTCTAGTGATAGCATTTTGTTGGATAAGTAATTTGAGTAATATCAATACATATTTCTTTCTGTGAATGTTTTCCTTACAAAAATCTTCCTAATTTTCATTAAACATTATGATGTGAGTATAATTTACAGGTTGAAAACATAGCCTAACCCATACACAAATAATGTTAGAAGCATGTTGCTTTAAAGATGGGTTGGAAATCTAGCTGTAGTAGAATTTCTGGCCAGCACACACAGATGTCTATGGGGATTTTAGAAAACCACTTGTTTTTTTTTTTTTTCAAGAGTCAATTCAGGGTATTTCAGGCTCTACTTGTAATCTTCAAGTAGAATGGAAATGGTGGGTTTTGGGAGAGTCAACCCAAATAGACTTGTCATTACAGATCCATAATTTTTTTAAACCCACCATTTTGAGTTATTATCTTGCTTCTCACTAATGGCATAAAGGTCAAAATAGCATTTTCTGTGTATCCCAAGTGTAGACTAGGGTACTGCTAGACATTTAGCTACACTTGTGATTTTGTTTTTATTTAGGAGCTAGGAATACTCTGAAAGTGCTGTGAAAAGGGTAGCAACAGTTTTATCAAATATTTTTGGAATAAGAATAAAAAACCTGAGATGTAATCACTGAAAAAACAATGCCTGGGATGCTACTGTAGTTTTGGGTATATGCAGGGAAACTGAAGGTGGTTTTCAAGTCCTGGTTAAGGCATCCTTTCTATCTTCTCTCAGACTGACCAGTAGAGGGCACTCGACACAGGGAATAGCAAGCCTGACGGCGGAGCGCCCATGACGTCTTTGAACCCGTACCTTTCTACTCTGCCTCTGCCCTTACTATTCCGTGTCAGTTTCCCTGGGTCTTGATTTTGAAAGTCTATTTTAAGTATTTGGTAGGCCATCATGAATCTGTTTTATGTTGAAATGGAGCAAAAATAATTAAAAGAAAAACTATGTAGCCATGTTGTTGGCCAGCACTGCCCACCATGGAGGGAAGATAATCATTGCTCAGATGGGCTTTGGGCTTTCATAAAATCAGCAGCTTGATGTGGCATCTAGTTCAGCATGCAAACTAGGATTTAAAAAAAAGTCAAATAGAACAGTTATGGGAGTATAGAAACGATCATTTTCAAAGTCATTTTTGGCTAGAATCCTGTTCTGCCGAAATGGAAAATGTCTTCGTTCAAATACATTGCCAATAGATTTCAGACAGCTACTGCAATTTAAAGCCTGGGTGTTTAGAAACCCTATGCGGTGGAAATTCAGATTCTAGATTAGAGAATGGAAAAAAATAACTTGAGTTTGAAGGAAAATAGAAAGGAGTTATAGACATTCTCTAACAACAAACTCAAATCTACTGTCATACTATTATTAGCTCACTGTAATCCACTGGAATTAGATTTTACTAATATAACCTCTTAAATATGAAACCTCTGCTAGACTGTAAATTTGAGGGAATGAGCTGTACCTGAGTTAATTTTGGGTACATGGGAGACCCTCAATACATATTTGTTTAATAAAACATTTTATTAACAGCAATCTGGAAGTATCTGTCAGATGATAAGAAATAATTTCTTCAGGAGAGAAAGAATTGTAATTATGGGCTGAATTCTAAATTTTCTGTAAATAATAAGTATTTAGTCTAAACTTTATGCAAATACATGTCTATACCTAACATAAATTTCTCTGCTTAAAACATATTTAATTTACTTACGTTTTTCGTAGTCGTTCTTCTTTTTTTTCTACGTGTATCTCTGGCTGGCCTTGGGTGACTTTATTATGAAAGATAATCTCCCACTTCCCTTTATTTATATGTGTATTTATAGGTTAAGATCCCTTTGGACTTAATAAGGAAGAGAATATGGTAAATAAATTTATGAAATTAACTTAGGCTGTTTTAAAAAGATAAGTGGAAGAAGTGGTCATTGAAACCACTAAAGATAGCATTTATGTCACAATAAGTGCTAAACTGAAAAATATGAGGTGTTCACCAAGATTTGGAGTCAGGACCTTTCCTTTTTCTTAGTAGGGACGGGCCTTAAAATGTTTCCATTTTAACTTAGATTTTGTGGCTTTCTTTTTTTCTTTCTTCTTTTTTTTTTTTAGAATTCTGTTTTGGGGGAGGACAATGCAATGGCAAAATCCACATGGACCTAGCGACTAAACATCTTGAGTCAAACTAAGTAGTTTTTAATACTGAATTTAAAAAATCTTACATTTAGAAATTTAGAGATAAAGCAAAGATTAATGAGATATCCCTAAAATGTTGCCAATAGTAAATAGGAAGTAAAAAAAAGCATTAAAATGCTTTGCTTTTAATAATATAACTATCAAGCACACTATTAAAACATAAACTTTTTAACAGACTTTTCCACCAGTAATAAATTTTTCTCTAGTGATTTGTTACAGACTATAATTAGCTATTTTTACAAGCAATATATCTAATTAAAATTATTTTTTATTGTATCATATAATAAGGAAAGACAACCCATAACCTCACTCAATCAGTGTAACAATTTGTTATTTCAAGCGTGAAATCCAAACTGTGATTCAAGAATAATTATAGATCAGATGTTATGTCATCCATCTACTTTTTAGGAAAACAGTTCTTTGGAAAATCATTTCATTTGTTCCTGTTGTATGCTTCTCTGGCTCGATAATTGAGTGGTTTTTTAATCCTCAGAAAAGACATTTTTCTGTAACTCAAATCCTCAGCTTGGTTTTAAGTGGGAGAGGGCAGTAAGCTCCATGAAGCCAGGGGTTGTACCCTAGCACATACAGAGATGTTCAACTAGTATCTGAATGAATGAACACTGAAATGATTATCAAATTTAATTATACAATATTTTTGAACTTATTAGTATTTCTAAAGTTCTATTTGCTTTTGCTTCAGATCGAGTGACTTCCTGCAGCCCTCTGCTTAATGACTATGTTATGTGATATCAAGAACAATGAATTCTTTTAACAGGGATGTGTATCTTATGGTCAGAATTCCAAATTGGCAAACATATACGCAAAAGATGGTTAATATCAGTTCTCTCATGTCCTTACCATTTGGCATGTTCTACTGGTGTGTGACTATAAATGCACCTCCAGTTTTATTTACATATTTTGGATATTACTGGGGAAAAAACCAAGCCTAAGACTTTCATGTGGTATATTAGAATGCCAGACTTGAAGCCAGATGACACGGATGAGGCCAGGTTCTACTGTTCACCAGTGCTATGTATGAAATTGAGCAAAATGTATAACCCCTCTGGTTATACTTTACTGAATATTCAAAAGACTGTTGTGAGATAAGAAACTATAAGTACTCTACATACATATGGCTTTTTTTTTTTTGCTATTCTAACTTCAAGAGAAAATAGTTGAATTTTTGACTTTCCTAGGCCAGTGTCTATGAGAGTGAGACTGTTTTGACAAGAAGTTAATGGGAACAGAAACTTGGCACGTATTCTCCTTGTTACCAAATCTAGTCATATCAGGATAATACTTGATCAAATGCTTGCCTCAAAGCAGTTGGTTTGTGTCACACTTGAGAAATTTCTAGTAAAAGTGTTTAGAGACAAATCAAATCAATTTCAGGGACCAACTTAGCATATGTGTGTATGTGTGGTCTGACTCAGGACACACATTGATGCACCCATTTCTATCCTCGTAGGATTGGACTCTATCTTTGACCTCAAACAATATTGTGGCAATTTGTGCTGGTTGTTAAGAGACTCAGAAGAATCAAATTAGCCATACGTGGAACTGAGTTATTTTGTGGTCGTTCAAATAATCCTCACTTGTAACAAGGAGTGAGCACTCTCAGCAGCAGAAACCTCCAGTGGCCCTCAGGGAACCAATCTCTGTTCCTGTCATGCATGCAGTGTATCTCAAACTGGGGATCTATTTTTCCAGGGGGTACAAAAGACATATTTAAAGTTATAAGAGTATCCATTTTACCAGTTGGTAAATAATATAAAACATTATTTTTAAAATATTTAAACATATGGAGTATATAAAATTATGAAGTAAAATGCAGCATTTACGTGACCTTTTAATGTAAAACATAAGACTTAGAAAAAACTCTGTGCTTGGGACATTCCCAGACCATTCCAGGCACACGTTTATTTTCTGCGTTAGGTGCAGTTCGTGGAAAAGTCTTGGGAAGTGCTACACAAGTGCATCCTGGGAGCCTTCAGTCCCCACACTGCCTCCTTGTAAAACACCAAAGTCCAAGATGTCTTTTAGAGGAGCATTTTCTTTTTTTTCTAGATGAAGACTAAGAAAAATGGTCAGAGGAACTAAGAAAAATGGAAGGATAAGTTTTCCATGGGTTATACTAGAAAACTCTTTAAAATAAAAAATTACCTTAGAATGAAGGGAAAAAATATTTGGGGGAGGATGCTTCTAGACAGGAGTGTCTAGGATTCTTTGCTAGGCAAGTTTTCCAATATTAAACATTCTGGAGCAGTTTTCTCAGAGAAATCCTGACAGACACAGGAAAGGTGGCATTAGTCAACTCTCAGCGCATTAAGACAAGTTCACTTATACAGAAAGATGAATAAAAGGAGTTGAGATTCATCAATAAGAGACGTTTGAAAATAATTGCTTTATGAAGCTATGTAAAGAAAATGATTTTCATAAATTATTTGCTAATCATCTAACAGCAGATATACCTGTTTGACTTTAAAAAACTATAGATAGAAAATTCACTCTATTTACAAAACTGATCAATATTTAGCTTTAGACACTGAAATAAGTATGAGTAATGTAAATATCAACAATTATTGACCATATACTCTTAACAGTTATGTTTTGAAACAAACATGAAAACTACTAAGAAATTCTAAGCACAGTAAAAAAAAGAAATGTTTAAAATTATTTTTAGCAATAGGTCTGCTTAGGTTTCAACTAAGATCAAAACTTGTTTTCTTATCTGAGATATAATGACCAGATTCTGGTAATAAAGAAATGTTTTTCTTTAAAGCCTTAAATAAGAGTCTAAATATTTGGGCTATTTTTTTCCCTTAAAAATAAAATAAAATTTAGAATTTTTTTCTTTCAACAATAAATTGTGCTTTAAATCTGGCCCAGCATCTATTTCCCTGAATTTTATACACACACACGCACACGTACAAAGTGCATTAGGCTGAGGCAAAATCTGGACCTTCCTGGGAGACCAAGGAATCATTAATTTGAGGTCTTATGGGAGCTTGGAAATAATTTTGTTTTGATTTTTACTGGGGCAAAACTGAGACCAAGAGAGGTTGTACAGGCTTGCCTAGAATCAAACATCTGGTAGTTGCAAATCTGGACCAGAGCCTTGATTCTTATGAAGCAAAGTGAATTAAGATGACCTGGGTTCTAGCACAGACTTCATCAACAAGGCAATCTCTGGTCAGTGGCTTCACTTCTCTGGATTTCACTGTTCCCAGTAAAAAACACTGAAAGTCACTTTGAACACAGACAGTCCCAATCACCCCCTGGAAGGGAGTGTTTCTAGTTGCTGTAATTACAGGAGGGTGTGACTGCCATCTGTGCTCGGTGTTCTGTCATTCATATCCTGCAAAAAGAACAACTTCTTCCCACACATTGCAGTGCCCCCCCCACCTTACATCCCATGTTGAGAAATATTGGGTGACCTATTACCACTCTTGGGCTCTTTTCATGGTAACTCATTTCCCAGCTAACTCTATGAGTGGCGGTGGAAATCTGACTTAAATGACTCTGCTTCTAGTTTGTCAAGTCACTTTTTGGAATTTCCATTTTGGCATATCTGCATTCTATTTTAAGAACTTTAGTTAGAAAAGGTTATGTTATATTGGATTCAAATGAAAAATACGTCATCATTAGGTGGCCAAAATACATTTTTTAAAATAACTAATTTCCAAATGTAGACTGCCATGAAAAACATTTAATTGTATGATATAACCTTTTAAATAATTTCAGGTTTTTAAAAAAATACATTTTTGTAATAGGCTGTGGCATGATATATAACTGACTGGCAAAATTTCAAGCTTAAATTTTAGATATTTTGATATCTGGTCATTAAATCTTGCCCATGTCTATGATTTACAAATGAAACCACAAATGCCACAACTAAGCAGAAGGAAAAAAGTAAAATGTACTCTATGAACTATACCACAAGTAAATAAAAATACTGTATTCCTTTAAACAAATGTGCTTCTAAGAGCTCATAACTCAAAGCAAGATATGCAAGATGGTTTAAGGAGAGGTTGCAATTTTGCAACAGGAAGTCTGTACAGCTCCTCCAGGCAGTAGCTGTGAAGGAAATACCTGTGTTTCAGAAACTTGTTTCCATGTGTTCGTGACCTTTCGCATCCAGGCCTCAATATTTATAAAGTTATGCATTTTGCAAGCTCACAGTACCTTATTCCTCATAATTATGAATGCATGCAATGACATTTCATCCTTTCATGTGAAAATTCTAAACTTTATCGTAACATAAAAGTTAACACTTGAAAATTGGCCTACACTTTGAAATGAAAGGATCAAAAATGTCAGACATTGCAGAATACTGGTTCCTAATAGAGCTCTTTTTATTTGTTCACTGTTCTTCAGTCATTTTGTTGGTTTGTTACAAAATGCAGTCTTGATTCTTTATTTAAACAGTACTTAAGCTAAACTGTTCATGCCATGCAAAAATAACATTTTATGTACTTTTTTGGGGAGGGCTTCCCATTTTTTTAGTTCACTGGTGTTATTAACTGCATTTTTAAGAAACAAGTTTTTTTTTTGATTTATTGCTTTTGTAACTAGTCACATGCTGGTTTCACGTGTGGGGCAATAACCTGTGTCTCCTGGATTGGAATGAATTTCTGGGGCAAACAAGTGGTTTTCCATCTTGCACCCTTCTTGACTACTGTCCTTTTTGACATCACTCACAGCATGGTAAATGTCTTGCCTACAGTTGTGACCTGTGTCCTGTGGGGAGGAAGAGCCCATGCTGCCCTCTTCTCTTAAAGGGTCTCTCCCATCACTAGGCTTATCTGCAAAGCAATTTGGGCTGGAGTCCACCTGCTTCTCCTCCCTTGCCCCTGGGAGCTCTAAGAAGTCTTCATCGTCACCAGTATCTATTTCAGTGAAGCTCCTCCTCTCTCTTGAAGAGAAAGGGAACAGTTTCTGCTTGGGAAACCTGGGGGACAGCCCTTTGGAAGGTCCCTGACAAGGTGCTGAGACCTCAGCACCCAGCAAGGGTCTGTCTCCCTGGGAGGGGGTTTCTTCTAAGAGGATGGTACTGATGTGCTGTGAGGTGGTGAGCGGAAACTCAGCTGTCGTGACTGGCAGTGGCCTGGCTGTGCTGGGTGGGGTCTGTGGTGCACTGCCTCTATTTTCCTTAAAGTTCACTTTGAGGGATCTGGACTTTAGTGGGTTGCTGCCTTTTAGAGAGCTCTTAGGACTGTCGGTGGCATTGTCAGACTGCAAAGGACTGTGTGGCCCACACTGGGAGCCACTGGCATCGAGGTTCACAGTTATGTCGACTGGGGCATACTCCAGTGTGCCATCCCTGGCAGCAGGCCCTTTCTCTTTGGATAGAGTTAGAAACAGGGGGCCCCTAGCTCTTTGGTGCTCTTCTGTCCCTGGGAAGTCGGTTGGGAACTTCATCTGCAAGTGAGAGGCGGAAGGCGGTGGTAGGGGTGATTTCTCCGTCTCCGTGAAGTCGGTGGCACAGCTGGTAAAGCTGTCAATGCTGGAAGTGCTCTTCATGTCCACGATGACCTCAGTCTGTGCCACGGCCAGCTGCTCCTGTGGACACACCACTTCTTCCATTTCAATCTCTTCTTCATAAGCAGATGGCCTCTCAGGCTTTTCTTGGCAGTCTGGGTTTGGATGAGAATGAGGCTGTGTCTTGGTGATTTCATTGTATAGCATCTCCAGTTTCTGGGCACTCAGATGCTGTGGGCTGGAGGAAGACATGTTATTCAGCTGCTCGTGGGAGTCTTTTTGGCTAACCTCCTGGTACTTATTCTCGAAAGACTTGTTGGAGCTTGTTTCCGACAGAGCCTTCCTGGCCCACTTCCACCGGCTTGGAGACAGGTGATTATCGTCGGCGGAGTCCTTCGTATTGGTGGACTCTCCAGCCTTCTCGACAGCCACATCTATCAGTTCCATACTTCGAGCGAAGGCATCTTTTAAGTTCATAGAAACAATGCTTCCATTCCTTTTGGCCCGCTCAAGAGCCTCCCTCCTTTTAATTGCTTTCTCTTGGCGTTTCTGCTCCTTGTAAAACTCAGAAAAATTGTTCACAATAATTGGGATAGGAAGGGCAATAACCAGAACCCCAGCAATACAGCACAGGCCTCCCACAATTTTCCCTAGTAACGTTTTAGGGTAAATGTCACCATAACCAACAGTGGTCATGGTGATGGTGGCCCACCAAAATGATGCAGGGATACTGGTGAACTTGGTAGCATCTTCATCCTTCTCAGCAAAAAATACCAGGCTGGAAAATATCATTATCCCCATGGCCAGAAACAATATCAACAAGCCCAGTTCGTTGTAACTCCGCCTAAGGGTGAAACCCAGAGACTGCAGGCCTGTTGAATGCCGGGCGAGTTTCAGGATCCTGAGGATGCGCATGATTCGGAAGATCTGGACCACACGCCTCACATTTTGGAACTGCAGCACACTCTTGTTGGACTCCGTGAGAAAAATGGTGACATAGTATGGCAAGATGGCCAGCAAATCAATGACATTCAGTGGACCTTTAAAGAACTTCCATTTGTTTGGTGAGGACAAGAATCGCAACAGGTACTCCATGGTAAACCATGCAATACACACAGCCTCCACGTGTGCTAATTGGCGATTATCATTAGGTTGTCCAAATTCGTCTGTTTCCTGCAGCTCTGGCAGAGTGTTGAGAGACAAAGCAATTGTGGAAAGCACGATGAACAGGATAGACACAATGGCCAGGATCTGGAAAAGAGAAAAGTCCAAGTCAGTAAATCCTCTTAGTTGCTTAGGCAGCTAGGAGACAGATGGGTTGGGGATTCTTCAACTTAATATGGAATGCTCCAAGTTCTTCCAAGATTATAAGAAGGTAATTTTACCACTTAAAATTCCCTAACTAATACAAATACTTCACTTAGAAGCCTAATGTAAATTTAAATTCCATTCCCCCCTCCACGCTCATTGTTCTTAGGAACGTGTATATGGGCATCCACGATTTGGATGAGGGCCCACATATGGCTGGAATAGTTTTTGGGGGAGTAAGGATCTCTCCTCTCTTAGTTATCTGTAATTCCTCTCTTAACCACATGGTTTGTGTTTTCTTAAGGGAATTGTTTTACATGCCACATAAGCTAGACAGAATTGATGATCTCTAGGAATTTCAGTCTACAATTAAAAACATAAACTCAGACCGACACTTGGAGAGAGAACATGGCACTCAGTACAACACTGCTTTTTCTAAGAACAGATACTGTTCACGTGGCAAACACTGACATCAGAACCAAGTCGGTATAGCCTTTGTCCTCAGATGTGTGGACTTCTGGCCATCATCATGTGGAAAAGGAAGATTATATGCTAACTTCATTCAGTGCAGGAAGGTTTCACAAAGAAAAGCTTGAAGAACATCCCCAATGATTTCAGTGAAGGGCTGACATTCCAGGTGGCATGATGTCAGACAGGAAAAGAAAGAGGAAGCTCAGAATGAAGTAAGGAGAGGACTAGTGATTGGGTTTTAGAGTCAGTCTGAGCTCTGACCCTGACTTTACCACTTATTGGGTGACCTTAGGCAAGTTATTTAACCTCTCTGTCTCAAAGTACAGATCTGTTGAATAAAGGCAACAATCATACTACTTCATAGTGCTTATAAAAATTACATGGTACACAGACATCACTAAATAAATGAAATGACCCAGGACTGCAGTCTGGAAGGATAAAGACCAAGAACAGGTATGTGGAATATCTGTAAAGCCATACAAGATATAGACAGCCCAAGTGGGGATTTTCTCACCAAAACCTCGTGTTCTAGATTTATGGGGCAAGCAGAAGGATGAAGAGTTGAGGGTAACACAAAGGAAATGCTTCTTTGCTTAGTTAAAGTGTGCATTTAGTATACTCAATTCTTGGTGAAGTAGGAAACCTCTTACCTAGTTTAGGTCTGGCTTGGTTTCTTCTGACCTTTGCCAGTGACCTTGGGAGGTGTCACTGGTTTCAGTTATCATATTTAGCTCTGAGAAAAATATTCTGATAGTGACTGTTTCATTTAGAGATTAAGCATCTAGTAAATATTTCAAAGGGCGATGATTAGACACTTTGACAGCACGCAGCTCAGTACACATTCGATTGTTTAAAAATTAGTTTACATCAGGACTTCTGACTTCTTCCCTGCATTTCCTTCTTTTTATCTCTCTAAATTTCTCCACTTCTGAGTTATTCTCCTTTCATTTCATTTCCGCATTTCTCCTCTTATGCCTCCTTTATGTATTTTTTTTGGGGGGTGGGGGAGGTCTTCCTCTGTCATCCCCGCTGGAGGGTGGTGGTACAGTCTCAGCTCACTGGCTCACTAACCTCTGCCTCCCGGGCTCAAACAGTTCTCCCTCAGGCCTTGATCTCAGCCAGCTAAGTAGCTGGGACTACAGGTAGGCACCACCATGCCTGGCTAATTTTTTGTATTTTCATTAGAGATGGGGTTTTGCCCTGCTGCCCAGGCTGGTCTTATACTCCTGAGCTCAAGTGATCCACCTGCCTCGGCCTCTCAAAGTACTGGGAGCCACTGCTCCTGGCCCCTTTACATCTTTCATTGTTTTCTTTATCCTCTTCTAGCTTCCATCTTTCCTCCTTCAATTGCTATCAAGTGAACCCGGAGTATAATGCATTTCAGAATGTGTTGTAGAGGGTAAATAAAAAGTTATGAAAGTGCAGTTTTTAATATTAGTGTTTTCTACTTTTTCTTAGAACTAGGTTAAATACTTTTTACTTGAGAGTACTTCAGAATTTCCTTTAAAAATGTGGATCAGTGAATCACAAGAGAAAAGCAAAAGTTCTCTTTAACTCCTGTAAGAGGCTGTGAAGGCTAAAGTTAGAAACTCTCTTGAAAAGGTTTGGATAAATCCCTGGCTAATAGATTCAGATGGTTGTAAAGGCAAGTTGGGAATGCTCACCTCGAATCCCTACACTCAGAGGCCAATGGCAGGGTAACATGCACAATATTCTGTTAGTAAAATATTCCCAAAAAATCAATGGTCATATCCCATCCATTGCTATGTTCTTACCATAAGGAACCAAGATGTTTTCTGGGAGGTCATGCTGTTGCTAATACATCTTTGGGCGTTTTAAGTATTGGGATTACTGCCATTCTTCTTGTACTGACAATCCATACTCTAGATTTTCCATATCTAATCCGTTCATTTGTTCATTTTGAATGCATTTTACTGATGTTTATCACTTCAAAAAGAGAGGAGAGAAGTAGATATGCAAATGAGTCCATTCTATTGTAGTCCAATCTTCTGGCAAAGAATAAAGTGGAAAGTCCAAGGTGGGCCTTCAGTCCTTGATTCCGCAATCAGAGCTAGACTGTAGGTCACTTTACTTCTGCAGCCAATTTTGGGAAATGATGATAAAACATGGTAGAGTTGTGCTGTAGTCTGTTGTCTAGTTGACCACAGCTTAACAAATATGTCCACTTTAACACTTGGAAATTTAGCATATGCACAACAGGACTTAGGGCACATTCTTGAAGACAAATAACTACTAAAGGAAAAACGAATCAATCGAGGCCTTAGCCATTCCACATTCATTTTAAAGAGAACCATGGTGACTGAAGTCCCATGTTGAAATTCAATTTGTCAAAACCCATTTGCTTTCAATTTAGAGGAAGGACTTATTCTAAACATCTTGTGAAGCTTGGAGTTCTCCCAGAAAGGCAGCACTTTAGACAAATTATTCAATAAATACCAAGGTGATACGTGGTGCAATAAGCGAAATACATTTTTTGTCTTATTGTAGAGTATTTAAAAAACACGATAAATATAATAAATGTGAAATTTTGCGGTAAGCTTGAGGATGCACTTCAAAACATAACTACTTAATGTAGCAAGCTCTTATGGCACTAATGCTGGCCTCCACAACAGCTATTTCAGTGCTGACAGAGTGGTTAACTTAAATATTAAAACCTGAAAGAGCCAGTGCCCTTATGCAAAGGCTGGAATGGAACAAAAGTCCAAGAGTTTTGCCAGGCCTTTCTTGGGCCCTGAAGCATGAAAAAATAATGAAGGAATTCTTAACAGGGTCTGTTTAGCATTAAGCAAGTTTTATTGGGGGCTAAGGAAACTCCCTAGGCCTCCACAAATAAGTTTTTCAGGGGTCTGACGGAGCTCTCCAAACTTCCATGATTTAGCAGGAGACAAGATAAAAGTAATCACCCCAGCACCTGGACCCATTTAGATTAAGTAAATTTACTGAGGCTCCAGAGGAAGCTCTTCAGGACTCAGATCTTAGTTATAGATTAAAAGAATTTAACCACTTATGTCTGTAGAAGAATGCACACTTACATGTAGACATATAGTTTAGAAGGTATATAAGTTCTGGAAAACTTTGTAATTTTGAGTTGGTCTGGGAATAATTTCCAGGCCTTCTCCCTGTACCCAATTACAGAAATAAACTCCCTCCTTTACCAGTTAATCTGCATTTTATTATTGGGCCATGAGAATAAGCAGCCTGACCCTTGGTTTGGTCTGGGAACACTTGAGTATTGCTTCACTTACCATAACCATGCAAAAGTTAGAACCTCACTGCCCCAGGTGTTTTTTGTTCCTTTGTTTGTTTTGAGACAGGGTGTGGCTCTGTCACACAGACTGGAGTGCAGTGGCACAATCTTGGCTCATTGCAACCTACACCTCTCAGGCTTAAGTGATTCTTGTGCCTCAGCCTCCCAAATAGCTGGGACTACAGGTGTAAGCCACCATGCTCAGCTAATTTTTGTGTTTTTAGTAGAGACAGGGTTACACTATGTTGGCCAGGCTGGTCTCCAATGCCTGGCCTCAAATTGATCCACCCACTTTGGCTTCTCAAAGTGGTGGGATTACAGTCATGAGTCACCATTCCCCACCTGCCTGAGGTTTTTAATCCCTTTCACCTCCAACAACTGACCTCTAGAGCTGGCGGGACTGAACTATTTCAGCTCTAACAGAATTATGTGTGTATATGGCCAGGGAAGTGGAGATTCCAAGCAATTAACTGCGTGATGTTGGTTGATTTCCTTTTGGAAATTTGGGTTAGGTCATCTGCAAGGTTGATTTAACCTCTAACACAGAGGTGATTCTCTGTCTAAACTAAAACATTTTACTAATTCCAGTCAGTCTGTCAACCAAACCCAGGACAAGTCATAATTGATGCTGTCATTTTAGTTGAATATCCAAAGTAAAATTCTGTTATATAATGAGTAAAATCTTCAAAAGGGAAGACTGAAAAATATCGTGCTGTGTATGTTATAAGCATTTAGTTACTGAAAATAGACATTCTTTCTGGATACAACATTTTTTCCCTCTTGAATCATTTGGGTGATTACGTTATTTTATCACTTAGACACAGACATTCTCAGGATCACAGGGAGTTCAGAAGAGAGCTTTGAGCACTTGCATTAGTAGGTACCAATGTTGGTTGGATTGATTTCTGTTTATGGGAGAAAGTAAAGCAGCCAGAGACCTGCCTCAATTGAACCAGCTTGTTGGTTTTAGTCCTTAGAAGATAATGGATGTTTTGTGGTGGAAAGAAGTACAGGACCAGCAATTCAAACACATGGCTATACCTCCGCTGGCTGCATGCACAAGCCAGGTCCCTCTCTGAGCTTCAGCTCTCTCATCTGCAAAAAGAGATGCCTCATACTTGCTTTGGCTGCCTCAAAGGGTTGTTAAGGATCAAAGTGGATCATGCACATGAAAGCATCCTGCCAAGTGTATAAAGTAATAAGT